TGAACTCCCATTAATGGGTATAAAAGCAGAAGGAATGTTTTCCATGGGAGTTGCTTTTACAACTTTTGTATTATTAGAAAGTAAACTCAGGCCATGATTACCTGAAATTATTTAAAGATAATTAGCTTTAAATGCAAGAAGAAACTATAATCTTTCATACTCAGACTAAAATGTCACTCTTGCAACAGGTTTGTTGCTATCTGCCTACTTTACAAACAGGTGTGTGTGAGAAGGGGAAGATGCAGAAAGAAAAGAAAAAGAAAATAGGGCTACGGCCCTGCTCTGAGTCTCAGAGGGCATTGCTGGTGCTCAGTGGCAATAAGCAGAACCAAACCAAAGTGCTGCCTGATGTACCGTAAGTAACATCTATAACACCACTAGTGTTCTGCTTTGAGGGACAGCTTCTGACCTGATTCATTTCCTGAACTTTAAGTGACCTGTGGTATTGTCTGCAAATTATTATGCCTCTCTCTCTTTTGGTAAGATGGGCTTTTTTGTTTGTGGGTGTACAAGGGTGTGTGTATCTATTTACATATACTGATTATTCTTATTATTTTATTGAAGTTTTAATGATGATTTTAGGATAATTGTATGCTGTTGTGTTTATTTTTTACTGTTTTTTACTGTTTCAGTTGTTTTAATTGTGAGCAGCCCAGGGTCACACTTGTGAGATGAGCAGCTATACAAATTAAATAAATAAGAGCGCATACTTCATGTACTTGTCTAATATTGTTTACCAAAAAAAAATGAATCTTGTTATGGAATTACATTTGTAAAAGCAGCTTAAGTCTATACATCGTATTTTTTCAAAATTACAATAAGGTTTCCAACTTAAAAACCTGAAAAAATAGTCAGATTTGTGAATACCTGATTATTGTAGTATACAGTAGGTTTTGTTTACGGTAAATGTATAATTTAATGCCCTCTTTTCAATGCTTGTTTTTTTTCTAGTGTACAAATCAAAGATAACTCTGCTCATCTACCAAAAAATATAGAAAGCAGAACCAAGCCTACCATATTGCATGACAAAGAAAATTGCCATTCTTCAGCTAGCCGGATGAATGTTCATAAGGTTAATCTTAAAGGTATTGTGAATTTCTAACATGCTAAAAACGTAAAAGAATTCACAGTATCACATCATTATGTGAGTCAGGCATCACTTCCCTGATTTACATGTTGCACACTGTCAGATGCTTAAATAAGGGAAGTCATGTATATCAGCGAATGATCCTTTTTTGTAGCATTCCCCCCCTTACCTGGTTCTGCCAGACACGCCAAGTTTTAAATTGAGGGAATACCTTAAATAAATCCATTTGGGTCCTGACTGTCTTACTTCACTAACACACCTCAACCTGTGCTTGGAAAGGATCAGCATTATCTTCTGATTTGAAAGTCTAATTCTCTGTGAACAAAGACTGAAGTGTATGCTGTGTTACATATCTTTATTAAGCATATGGGCTATTTTCTTCTTCTCGGCATTGAGCCCAGGCTATGCAAGGCAGTTGTGGTTTTACTTTTCATTAGATTAAAATACAAATATTGAAGTCTTAAATTACCAGATTAGTAATGTACACAAGTTATACTTAACGCACAAATTCAGTGAAATGCACTACAGTACTGTTAATAGGGCTTTCTGTGATACAATTGTGATGAATTTAAGCTAGACATTTGTTAGGAAAGGTAAGAGTGATCTGAGTAAAATAGTTTTCCTTCTGTACTGTATGACTGATAGATTAAAAAGGAAAAGAAAAAAAAGATTTTAATTTGCATGGATTTTTATTTTATTCTCTGTGCCAATTGCTCAAGAATTATGTCAGAAATAATGATTTAGTTTGTTTCTTTTTCTTTTATTAATATGAGAGTATAGAGTAATATAAAATTGACAAATAATTATCATTTAATGTAGAAATATTTGAAGGTAAGATATTGCTCTTTCTCATAACAAGCAACCAGATAATCTCTGCATAACAATAATGTTCTGAATATAACGCAAGCCCTGGTAAAGTGGCTTATAATGGATTCAGCCACTTGCAGTCTGCTTTTCAATGAAGGGCTTGACTTTACCTTTCCTACATGTGGCCCAATCCAGTGGTACAAAAGGTTAAAAAAAAGTTTGTTTTTATTATTTATGTTGGACGTGTTTTCATATGTTCTTGTTCTGATATAACCAGTTCACCAAAGTATTGTAGATTAATACAGTTTTATTACCTGGCCTGCTGCAGTTAGACTGCTACCTGGAAGTTTGCAGTTCAGATTTCAGGGTGGTGGTTCTTGTAGTTTAACCTTTTTCTAGCTCTTAAATGAGGCTGTATGTAGGGTTGTTTTTTTTAAAGATTATTTCATTCATTTTAATCTCTCCCATTTCCCCCATCCCCCACCTTTTCACTCTGGTACTGTACATGAGCCAGACAGCCTATTGAGAAACAGTAAACCATCTGTTAACAGATTTGAAGTTTCGAATTATACTTGAATGTGTAGAGGCACTTGTGCTTGGACAGAAACATTCATTTGAATTAAGCTACAACTGCTGTATAAAAAGAGCCGTGCACTTAATGTAGGTTCATGAATAAAATTAAGGGAGGGCAACTGCATTCTAAACTTTTACCGCTTCAAACCCAAGCATTTTTGTGCATGTGTTCTGTGATCATTTGGTGCTTTTATAATGTGGCTGAAGCATTTTACAACTAGAAGCGGGAGGGGGAGAGATAATTCCCATGTTAACCCTTTAGTAGTGCAATCATTGCTGGATCTGTGACAGAAAAGAAGCTTGGTGGATTTTTAAAATTTTCTTTAAAGATATTTAAACTGGGCAAAGGAGACCTTTCTCATGAATAAATGTTCTGGCAAATAGTCAGATCTCCTAATTCCTTTCACTTTGGTTATTGCCTTGAATTTCCATTTTGCCTATACTCTATGAATTTTGCATGCTAGGGGAGACAGCTCTGCATATTGCTTGCAAAAGCAACAATGTGAAGAAACTGATTCGTCTTCTGGCTGTACCAGGAATAGATATTAATGTTAAAGGTAAGTGGTTGATTTTTTTTGAACTGAATAGATACCATAAACCTTCCAAATAACTATGAAATGTATGTGTTTGTAATGTTCTTCACAATGATTTTCTTATCCATAAAAATGTGTTAAAAGCAAGGCTTGAATGAGTAGCTTGGAACTAAAGCTTATTGAACCAGTCATTCGTTCCATGTAATTCTTGGGGTTTTCAGTTAAGCATGATAATGATTTAAAAATTACTCATACCTAGCTATTTTATAAATATGAATTCAAAGTGGTGAATAGCCTTATCTTCTGGATAAGAATTTTCTGTAAATTGTAGTAGACCAGGACCATTTTGATTGCTAGAAAAAGCTTGAGTTTAATAATATTAGTAATAATATTAATAATAATCTGCTTTGCGGAAATAAAAAATATTTTCAGGTTATTGCAAAATAGCAGTGAGACAGATCTTTCCTTTTAAGTCATGTTTCTGGGCACATTTTAAAAATAAAGTACAAAATTGTATATAATTTTTACTGCAGTTTGTGGTAGAAGTATGTTCATTATTTTTAAGAAATTTGAATTTCATTTTTATGACCATCCCACTACGGATTTTGCTGTTTCCTCAAACTCTTCATAATTTATCATTCAGACTATGCTGGTTGGACACCGTTGCATGAAGCCTGTAACCATGGTAGCACAGTGTGCGTCCATGAAATTTTGCAGCATTGTCCAGAGGTAAACCTACTCAGTCAAGTGGATGGGGTGACTCCCTTGCATGATGCACTGTCAAACAGACATGTAGCAATTGCTGAGCTTCTACTTCAGCATGGCGGTGAGTGCATTTATGCTAAATAAGCTTAGAAAAATTTGAATCTGTAAAAATTGCAGAGTATTAAAATTGGAGGCTGTTTTGAATGTCATTTTGAAAGCTGGAGGTTTTCATAAATATTGATGTATATCTTGCCATATTTATACTCATTCATCTTGTCAGTTTAATTATTTTAGTAAGCCCATAAATGTGGCTGTTTTTTCATAGTTGCTGAATTGCAGATTTGCTTTAAAGATTATCTTAACAAACAATAGTACAGATTGCGTTTCATACTATCCCAAAACTTGATTTTACATTATTTTAAAATGAACTGCAGTATGCTTAGGTTGATTGCTTCGTGCACTTAATACAATGTGCTTTTATTTAGGGTGAACAGATATTCTAGTTGTTTCTTCTGAAAAAGGTGGCTATTTTTAATAACAAAACTTTTAAAAAATTGTAGATGCTACTTATACAACCCTTTGTGTCTTACATGCATTGTAAGTCTATTTACACAAACATGTGCATGAGCACTTTGTATCTGTAGAGATATAGCATAGCTTGTAATATTTTTTTTTATTATAGTGTGTGTCATTCTGATTTCATGCTTTATCTTGTTTCCAGATTTATATGTTATAATTTAGTTGTGTACAGTAAAAGAATGTGCTGTACTTACTTTTTAGCTAAACTTACCCCAGCATACAAATTAATGCTGTTTTTGTTTGCTCCAGAAGGCTCCTTTGTATTTGCAGTTGTCTCCTGCCCCCTAAAGGCTATTTTCTTGATCTCTGTCTGACATCCTTTCCCAATCAATACATCCCTGCTCTTCCCTCTCAGTGTATGTTGTGCCGAACAGTAATGCGATCTCCCAGGTGTTTTATTTATCTACTGCACCATGCAGCTGACAGGCTGAGCCAATACCTAGCTTTTCTTCAATCGGTCTAAGTGATGCAAGACCCAATATTACAACAAGTCCAAGTCCTCAATAGAATGTGGCATTACGTTGACAGATGTGCATTTTTCCTGTGTGTCAATGAAGAATAGCCACTGGATGATCCCCTTGTCCTAGGGGAGAAGATCTACTTGCTCTTTCATTCATCAAGGTCTTCTGGCAACTTTACAGGCTCTGTGCTCAGACTTATCTTTGCTGTCAGTTGCCAGGCTTTGGCCTGTCAGACATTTTGACAAGAGCTTGACAAGAATTCTGTCTTGCATATTCAGGGTAGAATTACTCACATTTCTTATTCTTCAGAACCTTTCAAAACTTTCACTCTCTTCATCCCCATGCCTTTTATTTTTTTAAAGTAACTTACCATAATGCAGTATATCCATCATTCAGAGTTATGAATTATTTCTCTTTACTATGATGACTAATTTTATCTCTATAAGCATTCACCACAATTATATTAACCTGTTTTTATTGTTGCCCCATATTATGCATACCTTTTAATCCTCACAACAACCCTATGAAACAGGTTGCTTTGAAACACAGTAATTTGTTCAAGATCGTCTAAGGACCTTTGCAGTTGAGCAGAAATTTGAATTGGGGTCTTTCTCATCTCACAGTTTATCTTTTAAAAGTAAAATATTATGTCTTTTTTTATCTTACTTCCATATATCATTTTTAGCGTAACAGTTTTTATGCAGAAAAAGGTTTAATTCTAGTTAAATGTAGATAACAGGTTTTTCATGACTACCCATGCTGTTTGCTCATGCCAAGAAAATTACTTCTTATGCTGTGGTTTGTAATCCTGTAAAATCTAAATGGTTGGACATTTTTTCCTAAACAGAATAATGTCTATAGTATTTGTAGTACTAGCAGTGGGTTACCCAGCAATAGAAAAAAATCTTTCACTATTCTGAGAAACACAACATCAGCACTGATCACCATTAAGGAGAAAGAAGAGACCCCTACTTTAGTCCCTCCCTCTTGCTTCCCAGTAAGTGCTGGATACAACCTTTTAATTACTGATTAATATGGACTTTTACATATACAAATTGCACACACCTCCTGATTAGGGTAAATGCATTCTAGACAAGCTACTCAATGCAGATATGTAGAAGCAGAAATTATATGTTGTTCTGAGGTTTTATCGTATCAAAAGCTTTTAAACTAGCTTAATTTGGGTGGCTTTGTACAAAGTAGGAACATAATGGAAAGCCATTGCAGCTGTTTACATCATTGTCCAAACTTCTGGCCTGCACAGACATGAGTTGCCATAATGGAGGTGAAGAGAATCCCAAACCAAACAATTGCAGAAACTCGTCCCTTTCACTGCATAGTTAGGCTGCAGCGTAAACCAGATTGTTTTCCAGAATAAAAGGGAGGAATTTTGTCAGCTGTTTTTTGAGATCCAACATAGTAGAGAGGAAATGCTATCAAAAATACCTAAGAGTATTTATGCATCTGGTTGTAGCATTTGAAATGGCAGTTAGGAAAGCATACCCCGAACTTGCCCAACTCTGAATTATTTTGTCATGGAGATTGTTATTGTCTAGTGTGACAACACAGATTATGAGCTGTCTCCAAAAGCCTGATTACTAAAAAGGTTTTATTTTAATCTGTTGTTTGTGTTGCAAAATATATTCTAGAAATATATTTTCATAGATAATAAGCACATACAAAAAGTTTGATGAAAAATAGACATAAAAGTTTACTTAAAAACCGGAACAGGTACAGTATTTATTGGTATATAACACACACTTTTTTCCTTAAAATTTGGGACTGAAATCCCAGCTGCGTATTATTCGCCGATATGCATGTTACACACCAATGTATAAGCCGCTGTATAAGCCTTGCGGCTTCTCACCTCAACCGGCAGGGCTGGGAGAGTGGATCCTTCATTTGAGCCAGGGCTGTAACCAGGGCAGCAACCATGCACTTCCTACCTCCTCCTCCAATTGATGGCACTTAAACCATGCCTCCTCTGTTTGCAGTCTTTAGTAACATCACCTGCGCAGTCCGGCACTCAGTATGTCAGAGCAAAGCGCCGGCGCTTTGCTGTGACTCATTACTATGTGCCAGAGTGCTGCAAAGAGAGGAGGGAAGCTCGCAGTACTTTAGTGACATCACCCGCGCACCCCGGCACTCAGTGCAGCAGAGCAAAGTGCCGGTGCTTTGCTCTGACTCATTACTAGATGCCAGAAGGCTGCAAAGAGAGGAGGGAAGCTCATGGTACTTTAGTGATTTTACCTGCGCACACCGGCACTCAGTGTGTCAGAGCAAAGCGCCTCCCCAAAGGGCCTCAGTGGAGTGGGCCCAAGCCCATCCCGGGCAGCGCGTCCCTTGGAAGTGACTGAGCCCTTTGCAAGCTGCTGCCGCACCGGGGTGGGCCCACAGAGCCAGAGCTGCCCCTGGCCAGCAAGGGGGGGCTCATGGCCATGGCTGCAGAAGACACTGCGCAGCCCCCGGGGCCCAGCAGGAAGAGCGCCCCGGGGCCCCTGGGCAGAGCCAGGAGGAGCCCGGCAGCCCCTTGCCACGCAGCTGTGATCCACGGGCCTTGGCTCTCACCTGGAGGTGCTTCCTCCGGCCGGACAGCAGGCAGAGCAGCTGGATTTGGAATGGAGGGAAGGCGGGTTGATGGGTGGATGCAGCTGCTCCACGGGCCGGACCACCCGGACTCCTGCCGGCCGTGGGAGGTGGCGGCTCTGCGGACCAGCTGCGGGAGTGGGCTAAAAGGCCTTTGCTTGCTGAGACCTCCCAAGGGGGCCTGAAGTCTTCTGAGCAGCTGCTCTTTCAGGGCTGGAGCTCAAGCAGCCCAAGCCACCCCTTTGGGGCCTGCCACAGAGCGTCTGAGGAGGACAGAACTTTGGCCAGACAGACAGACGTTGCACTAAAGATTTCACAGGCACAGCTCTGGCATCAGGACCCTGAATGAGGACCCAGCGAGATCAGAGTGCACACCCCTGATAGTACCTTACTTTTTTTAATTTAAACTTAGGTAAAAAGAATACCGCTGCAGAGTGTGACGCATCCCGACGTTGCCAACGTTTTTTTTAGTCTGTCTCATCACTTTCATACGTGCAGAGTGTCCTCAGTTAAACAACTCGTGCCTACATTCACTACTTGTTTCAGTTTGAAAC